GCAGCAGATTTTCCTCAAGAATTTGATGGTATACTTATTTCCTTCTATCCTGACAAGTGCTCCAGTCCCTGCTGCAGAGAAACACCCCTATAACAGGATATTACCACCTCCATGCTTTACTGTAGGAATGCTGTTATTTGGATGGTAAGCTGTATTGGATTTCCACCACATATTGTTTGGGGTTCAGGCCAAATAATTAAATTTTTGTCTCATCTGCCTCAGAATGTTCAAGGTGTGTTTTGGCAAAGCTCAATCATGACTGCATGTGGTCTTTTTTGAGGAGTGTGTTTTTTCTTGCAACCCTCCCATACAAGCCACATTTGTGGAGAATTTGTGATATTGTTGTCACATGCACACAATGACCACTCTTTGTCACAATTTCCTGTAACTGCTTCAGAGTTGCTGTAGGCCTATTGGTAGCCTCTCTGACCAGTTTCCTTCTGGCTCTTTTATCCAGTTTGGAGCGACGTCCTGATCCAGGGAGGGTCTGTGTTACACCAAATACCTTCCACTTCTTAATAATAGACTTCACTGTGCTTCTAGGCATTGATAATGTCACGGTGTGCCAACTGTGAAATAAACATAGACTTTATTTGCTTCAACAGGGAAATCACACACAGGATATTTAGTATTCAATGTAAATGACTATTGAGCACTTAAAAAAAAGAGACTGTGTACAAAAAATACTGTAATATAATGTTTTTGAATTCTAATCAACATGAAGACAGTACAATAAATATTACCATGATACACAAATAATACTGTATATACAGTGGGTACGGAAAGTATTCAGACCCCCTTAATAGACTTCACTGTGCTTCTAGGCATTGATAATGTCACGGTGTGCCAACTGTGAAATAAACATAGACTTTATTTGCTTCAACAGGGAAATCACACACAGGACACAGGGATCGACGTACATACAACAAGTAGACCCGACAAAACCAAACTGAACAGACTGGGGCTTATAAACACAGGGGAATGAGGATAATTAACTAAACACAGCTGGGAACAAATGAAGAACTAATCGGGGAACATAATGGGAACAGGAAAAGGAAGAACCAAATATGGGCATAAGGAACACATGGGGAGCAAAACACTCACAAAACACGAAACAGAGTCTGACAGATAAAGCCTTTGAATTTTTCCAGAATTCTCCTGACTTGTGCCTGTCCACAACTTTATTCTGGAAATCTTTTAATATATATACACATTATATTGAATATTGTGTATATTATTGCAATGTCCTGCTTTTTTTTTTTTTTTTTTAATATGATAATAAATAACAGTAAATATGCAATTCATATAAACAATTATATATACATTTATGTATTGGGGTGAAACAATTATGCTTAATGTTAGTTAATTAAGAATTTGGCTTGAAGCAAAATTATATTCATTTTAAATATGACCCAAAAATGTTCTTGAGAGGTTCTGTGAGCCTCACCCAATCAATATTAATAAATTATATATAATATTGTTTAAATATATGAATACATAATTCATACAAAAAAAATATATATGTACATTTATTTATTAAGGGGAACAACTGTTCTTAATTTTGCTTAATTAAGAATTTAGCTTGACGCAAAGTAAAAAATATATACTGTATATATTCTTTCTTTCTTTTTTTTTTTTTTAAATATAACTCAGAAATGTTCTTGACAGGGTTTGTGAGCCTCACCTAATCAATATTAATAAATTATATATACTATAAATTATATATAATAATTGTGCTTAATTCTGCTTAATTAAGAATTTAGCTTGCAGTAAGAAAAAAAGGGTTCATTTTAAATATGACCCAGAAATGTTCTGGGTTTTTGTGAGATTTACCCAAACAAAATGAATTTAATACACAAAACAAGCAAGCAATAGCCTGGTTGCAATGCTTGCTCTATTGTTTCACATTGCTTAAGTCTGCTCCCCAGCAGAATGCAATGTTGATTAGAGTGACAGAAGGGTCACTGGCTCTCTGTAATTTACTAAAGTCCCTCTGCTCACATCAAATCTCCCCTCCTCAGTGGGGTCACGTGTATTCATTTGGCAGGCATACTTGAGGAGACATAATCAGTGTGGATGATGGTGTTCTCTTTTGCATCTTGACTTATTGGGTGTTGTGTGTTCACATCAAATCTCCCCTCCTCAGTGGGGTCACGTGTATTCATTTGGCAGGCACACTTGAGGAGACATAATCAGTGTGGATGATGGTGTTCTCTTTTGCATCTTGACTTATTGGGTGTTGTGTGTGTTCACTATGGTTAGAAAATAATCATGGCCACAGTCCTGTAGTACAGACAAGCTCTAAAATTCACTGCCACACACAGGTTAACCACCATCACCAAGACAAATATACAAAGAGCTGTTATTCAGTCTAACAATCATGCGGTGGACACTTCAGGGAGACACGCCCCAACTCAGTTAGGGTAGGGCCTTCCAGCTGCTGACCGCTGGCTTCATACACCCACATAAGAGACTAAAAACAGCTAATTCAGTGGATCATCCAGATGTTAAACAGCTCAGGGACCTGACACAGAATGGATGCCAAACCAGGGTCATTGCTAAATTTCACAGGGCCCAGGTGAAATATTTTGACTAAAATAAACATTGACTCAACGTTCATTTTAGTAGATTAAGGCCTGGTTTCACAGACAGGGCTTAGGTTAAGCCAGGATTAGGCCATAGTTCAGTTAGTACATTTAAATATATTTTATAAACGGGCCTTAGAAAAAAATCATTACTGGTGTGCATCTTGAGACAAATCAATAGTACTAACATATTTTAAGAGATGTCAGTGTTAGTACATTTAAATATATTTTATAAACGGGCCTTAGAAAAAATCATTACTGGTGTGCATCTTGAGACAAATCAATAGTACTAACATATTTTAAGAGATGTCAGTGCAAGTTTCTTACAGTTAAAACAGAACAGACATGCATTTAGTCTGGGACTAGGCTTAAGCCTTGCCTGTGAAACTGGGGGTGTATGATGAAATGTATGATGAAAAATGTACACTCTTTCTCTTCTCAGAAAAACAGACCAAAAACACTGATGACTCATCCTGCACTACACAGATTTTTGTCCAATCAAATGCTCTCTAGAATGAGAATGCCCCTCCCCCTAATACAACCTGCTCAGCAACCAACATGTACAAATAATTGCTAATAAACCTTTTTACAAAAGTTTGGGGATTTTAATTAATAATTAGTCACAAGATAGACATTTCCTTTTTCAAATGAATGCAGTTTTTTTTCCTTAATTACAGAATCTTGAAAAAAATCACGGTATCACAGTTTAAATATTAGCAGCAGCACAAATGTTTTCAACACTGATAATAATAAGAACCATTATCAATAATTGAGCACCAACTCAGCATATTATAATGATTTCTGAAGGATCATGTGACACTGAAGACTGGAGTAAAGACTGCTGAAAATTTTGTTTTGCCATCATCACAGGAATAAATTACATTTTAAAATAAGTTAAAATAGAAAATAGTTATTTTAAATTGGAATATTTCACAACATTGCTGTTTTTACTGCATTTTTTATCAAATAAATGCAGCCTTGGTGAGTATAAAAGACTTACTTCAAAAACATTTAAAAAATCTTACCAACCCCAAACTTTTGAACAGTAGTTTATATAAATATGAAATGTTGCAATTAATAGAATAAAAATGATCAAATACTGTATGTCCACCTTCAATCAACTAGCAAGTAGCAAATCATGGCTAAAACACAACTAAAACTTATTCACAAACTTCCTATTTCAATAAAAAACACACCAACACACATTTCTTGGCATGACAACTTACTGAGCTCTGCGATGCTCCCCACGCGGGTCGCCAGGAGGGATTGTTCAATGGTGCGGAGTTCAGCCTGGCTGTAGGCATGGCCCTCTCCGGTTTTCCCTGCTCGCTGCTGGTCATGGTGCAGGTTCAGACTGTCCGGCAGGCTCAATACACCTGTGGGACAAAGATCAGACAATCAGATATAGAAATAAACACGTGAATGAGCCAAAACCAGATAAAAAAAACATTTGCAATGGGACCAAGAGACTTTGAGAGCTAAGTGTTATGACATTATCATTGTTTGAGAGGCAAATCAGACAACCCCCAAAGCAATTAAAACCGATGTTTTTGTGTTGGACCTTTTTCAAATTGCAACAAGCCACGCGGCCACAGGTATAGTTCAGCAGCATGTATTGGCTGGAGCCCTTGTCGTCTAATGTTCATTCAATAACCCTAATCAAATTACTTCACAGCGCCGCAGCCAAGGCTTTTGTTTGAACTGGAGAATAGGCAACGACAGATGGGATATTGAGCTCAGCTACAGGTGAATAAAGACAGACAAGCAGCTATCTGTCTGAGCTAAAGGTTTCACACGTTGGGACTGTATTGTGTTTGGTATTAATTAATGGGTGATATCTGTAGCTATTTGTCTTTCAGACATCCCTAGCCATTTGCTTTGTAGTGTGTCAGTCGACAGTACATTTAAGCAATATTGCTTTGGTGATATTGCTTTTATATAACAGATCAATAAACTAGTTAATATTGAGTAACTTACAGTTTAGACACAGAATTGTCAGTTATGATGTCTATATTTGCTCCGCCACAGCAGAACCTCTTAGAAATGCTCCATAGCAGCATTCCCGAATGAATATTTAAATAATTCACTCATAAAAGAAAGACACTTGTTTAATTCCTGAATGTATGAGTTTTTATGAATGAATAAATTAATGTATAAATTATTCACTGACTCACTTATAACGGTAGCCATCTGATTAGTTCCTGAATGAATAAGTGTTTTTGAATGAATTGGTTAAGAAAATGATACAATGATTCTTTCATAAAGACCACCACTTGTTTTGTTCCTGAATGAATCAGTGTTGTTGAATGAGTTGGTTGAGTAGATGATTCAATTACTTCCTCAAAAAGACAGCCGCTTGTTTTGTTTCCTGATGAATCAGTGTTTTAAAATGAATCTGTTAAGTAGATGATTCAGTGACTCACTTCTTAAGACAGCCGCTTGTTTTGTTTCCTGATGAATCAGTGTTTTAAAATGAATCTGTTAAGTAGATGATTCAGTGACTCACTTCTTAAGACAGCCGCTTGTTTCGTCCCAGAATGAAACAGTGCTTATGAATTAATGTAGATGATTCAATGACTGACTCATAAAGACCACTACTTGTTTTGCTCCAGAATAAATCAGTGTGTTGAACTAATCAATTGTATAAATAATTCAGTGACTCAAATCATAAAGGCAGTTGTAACACAGTTCGTAGTCACGGGAAGGAGGAGGCGGAAACCGGCGAACATTTAAAGACTTTAATAAAATAAACAAACACAAAATGAAAGTAAAGTGGCAGCCCCTCACGGACAACTGCCGCACACAAAACACAAAATAAAATCTAGGCCTGGTCCTCTCTCCCAACACTGTCGTCACTCCTCCTTTTATCCTTCCGGAGCTCCTCCGTGGGACTCGAGACCGGTGAGTAGCGCAGGTGTCACGCATTAACATTTACTCCACCGGCCTCGCTCCGTTCCCACGGCTCTCGGCCCCGCCCCTCTCGTCACCGCAGTTATCTAATTCACAACATTATGGACCAGTGTTAATAAAAATTCTTATATTTTGATACTGTATTTTGTATTATTTATATTTATACAAAAGTGTATTTTAAAAATAGTATATAAAAAATGTAGTTAAATATTTTTATTTGTAAAAATGTAAAATGTAAAATTGTAAAATGTGTGAATTACCTTATTATGGCAATACAAATAATGATAAAGAAGTATAAACAAACATAAAAAATAAGTAAAAATAAAATACTAATTATTAAATTGCCTTGTAATTTATGGACCAAATGGGCTATCCTAGAATTCCTTCGGTGAACCATTTCAATTGTTTAGATTTTATTAACTAAAAAATTATATATACATATTATATATGTACAATTATCATTTTTATAAGTTGCTCCCTTTTCTCTACTGAAGTGATAAAAGGGATAGTTCACCCAAAAATGAAAATTGTCATAATTTCCTCAAGTTTTTCCAAATTCAATCCTTGATTCAAATTTCTCATAAGCTTAATTGATTTGGTCTAAAGAGAGAAGAATTAATTACTATTTTTGTTTGAAGACTACATATAAAATAGCTACCAAATAAATGTTGGTAACTGCAGTTTGACTAAAAGTAATGACTAAAAGTTGGCAAAAATGCAATGACTTTACTTCGACTAAAACTAGACTAAAACTATGAAAGACTCAAATGACTAAAATGTGACAGACTATTAAGCATTTTCGTCTCAAGATAAAGACTAAGACTAAATCAAAAATGTATCAATCAAAATTAACACTGGACTGTACTGTATTTTATCACTCTTGGAATGCCACTGAGCCAATCAAATTTGAGGGCCTTAACTAACTGATGTAAAAATATACATAACATACATAAAAACAGTGTTAGAACTAACATGTTGCATAATCAGATTTCAAAAACGTTAAGTAACTTGTCAATTGTTAAAATGAATCAATTTCTAAGAGTTTTAGTCAGTTGACTAAAACACAAAAAGTAACTTAATATACATGCATTATTTTCAATAAACCTTAATGTTAATGCATATTGTAACATTACATGTGATAATAAGTAACACAATATTTAAACATGGCTTTTTTAACAGTAACATTCTCCAACACTGCACACAAACACAAAACAGCCTACCAGGAAGCTATTTTAAGCAGGGTATACTCTTGACTTTCATCTAAAAGGATTTGTGTTAGTCTCCCAGAGGTGGGTAAATATCCTGTATCCTGTTGTATATTGAATGACACCGTTAGCACAAGACAACACAGGGAAAGAAACACAGAAACTCATGAAGTTTTCATAACACCATGATTAAAATGACCTGGCACGACGAGTTCTGGCTGCTGCGAATCTCTTTGTGGTTAGTGAGTTAATGCATAATGGAGGATGTGCAATATTTGCCAGATGGGAGACAAGCTGAATTCTTTGTCAAGAGACACAATGTTGTTCATGGGTGACATGATGCTTTTAAGGAATTTTGAAGGGAGTTCAAGTGAGGGAACGCTTTGTTTTGGGTGACTGTCTTGTCTGATGAAATTTATTTTAACACGAGTGCCGCAACACAGAATGAACGTTTGCATGTGTGCGGCTCCTAATGAAGCCGCAGGCCATCACACAAGGCAGCATGGTGATGTCAGTTACAGTAGCATTTTGCTGCAGGTTTTCACACAGTTGAGTGAGAGGTGAGAGAGGATGATGTAGTCCAAAAACAGGATCCTCTGGAAGTTACAAGGGATTGTTTGACCTGTTTTTGACTGTAACAAAAACCTGACAGCTGTGGCTGCCAGAACTTTCCCGTAAAAAAATATAGTAACAGTGTTACATGCATTATGGGATGGCACCTAGTAAATTTTATAAAGCTGAATGACATAGGAGCACTAAAATATCAAATTTCTCATAAGCTTAATTGATTTGGTCTAAAGAGAGAAGAATTAATTACTATTTTTGTTTGAAGACTACATATAAAATAGCTACCAAATAAATGTTGGTAACTGCAGTTTGACTAAAAGTAATGACTAAAAGTTGGCAAAAATGCAATGACTTTACTTCGACTAAAACTAGACTAAAACTATGAAAGACTCAAATGACTAAAATGTGACAGACTATTAAGCATTTTCGTCTCAAGATAAAGACTAAGACTAAATCAAAAATGTATCAATCAAAATTAACACTGGACTGTACTGTATTTTATCACTCTTGGAATGCCACTGAGCCAATCAAATTTGAGGGCCTTAACTAACTGATGTAAAAATATACATAACATACATAAAAACAGTGTTAGAACTAACATGTTACATAATCAGATTTCAAAAACGTTAAGTAACTTGTCAATTGTTAAAATGAATCAATTTCTGAGAGTTTTAGTCAGTTGACTAAAACACAAAAAGTAACTTAATATACATGCATTATTTTCAATAAACCTTAATGTTAATGCATATTGTAACATTACATGTGATAATAAGTAACACAATATTTAAACATGGCTTTTTTAACAGTAACATTCTCCAACACTGCACACAAACACAAAACAGCCTTCCAGGAAGCTATTTTAAGCAGGGTATACTCTTGACTTTCATCTAAAAGGATTTGTGTTAGTCTCCCAGAGGTGGGTAAATATCCTGTATCCTGTTGTATATTGAATGACACCGTTAGCACAAGACAACACAGGGAAAGAAACACAGAAACTCATGAAGTTTTCATAACACCATGATTAAAATGACCTGGCACGACGAGTTCTGGCTGCTGCGAATCTCTTTGTGGTTAGTGAGTTAATGCATAATGGAGGATGTGCAATATTTGCCAGATGGGAGACAAGCTGAATTCTTTGTCAAGAGACACAATGTTGTTCATGGGTGACATGATGCTTTTAAGGAATTTTGAAGGGAGTTCAAGTGAGGGAACGCTTTGTTTTGGGTGACTGTCTTGTCTGATGAAATTTATTTTAACACGAGTGCCGCAACACAGAATGAACGTTTGCATGTGTGCGGCTCCTAATGAAGCCGCAGGCCATCACACAAGGCAGCATGGTGATGTCAGTTACAGTAGCATTTTGCTGCAGGTTTTCACACAGTTGAGTGAGAGGTGAGAGAGGATGATGTAGTCCAAAAACAGGATCCTCTGGAAGTTACAAGGGATTGTTTGACCTGTTTTTGACTGTAACAAAAACCTGACAGCTGTGGCTGCCAGAACTTTCCCGTAAAAAAATATAGTAACAGTGTTACATGCATTATGGGATGGCACCTAGTAAATTTTATAAAGCTGAATGACATAGGAGCACTAAAATATAATGTTAATATACTTAACTGAGCTTTTAAAATCTAAAAAAATAAGATGAAAAACACGCATTTTTAAATAAAATCTAAACAATTGAGATGGTTCACCGA